GGGGGAAGCGCGGGTCCTGCTGAGTCCGGGGCGGCAAAGAGGGGGGTGATGTTTAGGTGGGGGTGGATCTCATGGCGGGGGCCATGATATCTCCCCAGACTTCATGGCGCCTTGTTTCATTACCTCCCTGCCTCCCCCCCCCCGTGGGCCGCGCACATGCCGCCGGCCATGATTTGCGCCCCCCCCTTCTTGGACGCCCCCCCAGGAGGGAAAAAAAAACACAGACACAAGTCTTCGTCGATTTCCAGGAAATTTGGGAAAATATGGGCAGTGTGGGGGGCGACGAAAACCCAGAAAATATGGGAAAGTATGGGGAATCTTTTGATCTGTGTGTAGTTATTTGTGTGCCCCAGGGCCCCTTCATCTTGGCCGACCCCGGCCGAGGGAAGCGGGCCCCGAGGTTCCTTTGCCGTGTTCGGGCCGTCCGGGGCTCTCCGGGGGCCCCCGGGGGCTCTGCATGCAGGAGGCGCCTCGGGGACGGAGAGCGCGTCCCGCGGGAAGGCCCCGGGAGCCGGGGCCCGTGGCCCACGGGGCCCGCTGCCCCCCGCGCGCACTCGGGGAGAGGTCAGGAGCACCACGGAGGTCAGGAGCACCATGGAGCGTCAGTGATTCCGCAAGGGCTCCCACGAGGGCGCGAAGCTATGCGCGCTTCGCAGTTCCTTGTCCCCCTCCTCCTCGTCCTCCTTTTCTCTCGTTGCCCCCCGTGCGCACTCGGGGAGAGGTCAGGAGCTTAGTGGGCCCTGGAAACGACAGGACCGGGTTTTTTTCCGGTTCCGTGTTGCTGTTTTTTTGCCGGTTCCGACGCCGTTTTTTAACCGGTTCCGTCGCCGTTTTTTTTCGGGTTTCCGCTCCGGTTCCAATGTTGGAGCCGTTTTTGTTGCCGTTTCCGGTCGGCTCTGCCGTTTCCGGGGCCCGCCAAGGTCAGGAGCACCGCGGAGTGGCAGTGATTCCAGGCTTCCCAGAGCCAAGCCTCCGCCGATCTGATTGTTTCCCTCGATTCTGGCTCTCGGGGCCTGGTTGCGGGCCCCGTCAGCATTGTCATCATCATCATCATCATCATCATCATCATCATCACCATCATCATCACCATCCAAATCGTCATCATCATCATCATCAGCAGCAGCAGCAGCATCAGCAGCATCAGCAGCATCAGCAGCATCAGCATCAGCATCATCATCGTCTTCGTCATCGTCATTACCACCGCCATCGACATCATCATTACCATCGTCGTCATCATCATCATCATCATCCACATCCACATCCACATCCACATCCACACCCACACCCACATCCACATCCACATCCACATCGTCATCATCACCATCACCATCCAAATCGTCATCATCACCATCACCATCACCATCATCATCATCATCATCAGCAGCAGCAGCAGCATCAGCAGCATCAGCAGCATCAGCATCAGCATCATCATCGTCATCGTCATCGTCATACCACCGCCATCATCATCATCATCATCATCATAATCATCATCATCATCACATCACCATCATCAAATCGTCATCATCATCATCATCATCATCAGCAGCAGCAGCAGCATCAGCAGCATCAGCAGCATCAGCAGCATCAGCATCAGCATCATCATCGTCTTCGTCATCGTCATTACCACCGCCATCGACATCATCATTACCATCGTCGTCATCATCATCATCATCATCATCCACATCCACATCCACATCCACATCCACACCCACACCCACATCCACATCCACATCCACATCGTCATCATCACCATCACCATCCAAATCGTCATCATCACCATCACCATCACCATCACATCATCATCATCAGCAGCAGCAGCAGCATCAGCAGCATCAGCAGCATCAGCATCAGCATCATCATCGTCATCGTCATCGTCATTACCACCGCCATCATCATCATCATCATCATCATCATCATCATCATCATCATCATCATCACCATCACCATCCAAATCGTCATCATCATCATCATCATCATCATCAGCAGCAGCAGCAGCATCAGCAGCATCAGCAGCATCAGCAGCATCAGCATCAGCATCATCATCGTCTTCGTCATCGTCATTACCACCGCCATCGACATCATCATTACCATCGTCGTCATCATCATCATCATCCACATCCACATCCACATCCACATCCACACCCACACCCACATCCACATCCACATCCACATCGTCATCATCACCATCACCATCCAAATCGTCATCATCACCATCACCATCACCATCATCATCATCATCAGCAGCAGCAGCAGCAGCATCAGCAGCATCAGCAGCATCAGCATCAGCATCATCATCGTCATCGTCATCGTCATTACCACCGCCATCATCATCATCATCATCATCATCATCATCATCATCATCATCATCATCATCATCCACATCCACATCCACATCCACATCCACATCCACATCCACACCCACACCCACATCCACATCCACATCCACATCGTCATCATCACCATCACCATCCAAATCGTCATCATCACCAGCACCATCACC